CCCATGTGAGCCTCAGCATGCCACAATGCTCTTTTTAATGCTTTTGATATATTTTGGATTTTTAGGAAGCCAATTTGTTTAAGGACCCTTTAAACTTTACAAGGTAGCATATTCAGTGACTGCTGGGTGTGCTGGGTGTTTATCAAGCTTTGGGCTCATCTAGCCCCTTTCTCCAAGTTACAACTCCTGACTCCTGGGGCTGCTTTCCCAGCTTCCCTTGCAGCTATGGCATGGGCATGTGGCTTAAGCTCCGGCAACGAGGTGCAAGATGTCTGTTTGGATGCAAGCACCATAAAGGAGGTGCTGTGCAGAATTCCTTCTAGGAAGGATCCTGAGAGACAGACAGCCAGTTGTTAAAGGTGGCTGTGGCCTGTCCTGGCTAATCTTGTGTCCAGCATCAGGAGTGTGGGCAGAGATACCTGAGCCCAGTGGCCAGAGCAATAGCATCTCCATTGGCAGAGTCTGATGATATAACTTGGGCATCACTCTGAACGGCAAGCCTGTCAGCCTGATTTTCTGGCCCTCCTGAAGATCTTAAAAGAGACTAAATATTCCTCCATTAACTCTTTTTCTGCTTAAACTAGCTTGCATAGGTTCTTTTTGCAAATCTGACAGATAAAATGAGGTTGTTGTGTATCTTGTGGCTTCCATTTTTCTATTTTAACTACTTTCAATACCTCTCCCCCCAATTTCCCAAACTCATACATTATAATTGAACTGTGAAACACAAGAGATCACGGAGATCATTAGGGCCCAGTGTTAAAGGTAACACAGTGCAAGGAGTCTTTTAAGTATTTACATTTAGGGAAGGCCCACCCTCCCTCTTAAAATCTACATAATCCCATCACTTATAACTTGCTTCAAACTTGATAAATCCTATTTAGAAAAAGGAATATGTCTTTTGGTCAAGTGGTCTCTTCCCAGGACAACTCCCTAAAAGCTGATGGCCGGTTCAGGTCAGTCCTATGTAAGGCCAGAGCCAGCCTGGTGTAAAAGCTGACATTTGTATTCATCAGACCACCCTTGGCTGACTCTGGCTTGCAGCTCTGTCTCTTCCTCCTCTGAAACTCCATCACATAGAAACACACACACGTTTGGCTCTCAGTGATAGACTTTTCCATTCTGCTGTAATTGTTTTATGTGTTGGCTTTGTAGCTCTGATTAAACAATTAATCCCTCAGGGGGCGAGAACCACTTCTTGTGTTTCTTTTATAATTTTTACAGCACTGAACAGACTGTCATGAACATTGTAAGGGTCTGTTTAATAAATATTTGCTGATTAATTTCTCTCTTGGGGCTGTTAAGTATAAATTACACAGGTGTCTCACTATTCTTAAATGTGTGTGTGTGAGAGAGAGAGATCTAAGAGCCAATAAATCATATACTCCAGGCATGGAATTTAGAGCTAGAAAAGTCGAAGACACAAGACACAAGCCTCAGCCTGTGAGACTACCCTTAGTTTTTTATGTATAAATTGGGGCTTATAACAATACTTACTCTAACTACTTCCTGGGACTAGGGCCTTCAGAAGAGAGTATGTGTACTTAAGGCACCTTGTGATTATTATCCAGTCCATATGAAATGGGACCAGAGAGGGGAGTGGAGAAGAGGCTCTAAAGTCAGTGTATAGAGAAGGGATCATAGCTGATGGGACCTATGGGGTTTGGTGCCACCTGCCTGGGGCCAACAGATTTTTTTGTTTTTTTCTTTTTAAGATTTCATTTATTTATTTGCCGGTGGGGGGGAGAGAGAGAGCAAGCACCCAAGCAGGGGGAGTGGCAGGCAGAGGGAGAAGCAGGCTCCCCGCTGAGCAAGGAGCCCGATGTGGGACTCGATCCCAGGACCCTGGGATCGTGACCTGATCCGATGGCAGATGCTTAACCGACTGAGCTGTGGGGCCAACAGGTTACAGCGCTGGACTTCCAAGTATTTCCAGGTAGCAGGCATCCTCCTCCTTACCCCCCACTCCTAGCCCAAGGTGTCAGTTCTACCTCAGACTTTAAAACCTCTAAACCTGTAGCCTGACACCTTGTCTCTCCCCGACCTTGGTTCAGGCTTTGGTCCTACCTTACAGCTTAGGCCTCTTTCTGCCTCTGGTCTCTAATCCCCCTGCCCCCACTCCCCACCCCCAGGGCAGCTATTGACCTAAAAAAAACAAATCTGATCACATCCCTTCTCTAAGAAGCTCCGTTGGATAGCTAAACCTATATATCTTATCTAAAGAGGGAAGCCCAGTTACGAGGCTGTTTCAGTCATGTGAGAGATGTTGGGTGTGTGGACTAGGAAAGATCTAGAGGTGGAAAAGATTAGAGAAATAATATATAAAACTATAAACTCTGTATGTGTGTGTATTGTTATACAAAACATGAACAATAGTTATTTCTTTTTTTTTTTTTTAGATTTTATGTATTTATTTGTCAGAGAGAGGGAACACAAGCAGGGGGAGCGGCAGGTAGAGGGAGAAGCAGACTCCCCGCTGAGCAGGGAGCCCGATGCGGGGCTCAATCCCAGGACCCTGGGATCATGACCTGAGCCAAAGGCAGACACTTAACCAACTGAGTCACCCAGGCATCCCAAACAATAGTTATTTCTAAAGTTTCTTCTACTCATTTAGATATTCAACAGACATTTATTGTGTGCCTACCGTGTGCTGGGCACCATTCTAAGCACTGCAGATATGAGGGAACAAAACAGATACAGATCCTGCCTTCTTAGAGCTCACAGTCTAGCAAGGAGAGAAAGAACAATAGGAAAATCAGTAGGGAATCAATCAGGGCCACATGAGAGTGACTGGGGGAACCACTTGAGATAAACTGATCAGAAGAAAGTCCTCTGAAGAAGAGTTGATATTTAAGCTGATCCTCAATGAGGAACAAGAGTCAGCTGAACACAGAGCTGGAGAAGGATATTCCAGACAGAAGGATTTTGAATTTTATTCTAGGATTAGAAACCATTAGACAGATGGCTTGGAATGAGGGAGGGAGAGACATAGAATGGTTTATCTTTTCAACAGGTCACTGTGGTCCCTGAGGGAGAAGATTGTGCAGGGGTCAGGAGGGAGGCAAGCATGAATGGAAGCAGGGACAAGGTAGGCTGAGGTGGTATTGGCTCTGGCCAAGTTGTTGGCGGCTTGTGTCCAAGATGTCCAAGGACATGAAGAGAAGTGGTCAGTTATAGGATTTATTTTATGGGTAAAATAGACTGCTTGCTGATGGACTGACTGGATATGAGGGTGAGTGGCAGGAAGGAATTAAGGATGACTTAGGGTGGATGGTGATGTCATTTGCTGAGACAACTGGGAAAGGAATAGATTAGGGAAGAAAAGTTACGTTTGGCTTTGGACATGTTGAGTGTGAGATGCTAGTCATTCACTGGAGATGACAAATGGTTGCTGGAGAAGTAAGTCTGGAGCTCCTAGAGAGGTCCTTGGTGTAGATTTACATCTGCGAGTTACCAGCACGTAGATGATACAACAGTCATGAGGCTGGGAGGGATCACCCAGGGAGAGAGCATAACCAGATCAGAGGGTGGAGGACAGCCTCTGGAATACTCCAGCATTCCCTGGTAGAGAAAACAGGGTCTGAGGACCCTGAAGGACATCAGAAGGGTGGAGCTTCCCCAGCTCCCACAGAGGAAGGTGTGTCCGGATGCAGGATTCGGTCAACTGTGTGCAGGTATCACAAGACGTGCAGTAAGACAAGGGTGGAAAAGGGATAAGAACACAGCATTTGGCAACAGGTTAGTCATTATGGTGACTGTGACAAAAGCAGTTTGGGACCCAGGCCTGACTGGAGTACGGGGAAGGAGAGGTGTGAATGTATAATTGGCAAGAAGTTTTGCGGAGAGGCTGGATCATGGATGTTTTTATTTCTGTCTGTATATTCCAACCATGAACATTTGTTACTTACATAATGCTATAATAATGTATACATTGCAGATAGCACCCAACTGTTTATGAGAGGAGAAACTCCTCAGTAGAATACAGCAGCTCTTCAGCGACCTCTCCAACCCCAGGCTTGCTCTTCTCCACAAGCATCCGTCCCCTGTCTTCATCAGTCTGCATTTCATTCTTGCCGGCTGCCACCGCATATGTAAACTCAGAGTCTGGCGCCAGGCATTAGCTGTGGCTGGGCCTCTCACTCCTCTCAGCATCCCTAAGCCACCCCACCCCACACACGTCCAGGATCACTGGGGTACACACTAAGCACCCACCAGCTTCACCCACGCGTGCGTCCGTCCCGCAGCTGCAGATATAGCTCCTTTCCTGCCGTTTACTCCCCTGGGCTCTTAGACCAATAGGATAATAGGGAAAAGAATTGGGCCTCCAAGTCAGACGGGCGTGGGTTCCTTCCTCCATCTGCCACATAGCTGTGTGACTCTGGACAAGTCCCTTAACGGCCCGTGCCTCGGGTTCCTCATCTGCAAAACGAGGTTAGCAAAACCCACCCCCTATCCGTTTTGTGATGCCTGACATAAAGTAAGCAGCAGCTAAGGCGGCGCCTCAGTTTTGCTTCAGCGTAGCGCCCTGTTGAGCCACAACAGGTGAGGACTAAGATGTTTCAGAAATGTGACCCAGCAGTGGGGGCCCCTCACATGACCCCGAGATACCAGACGGTGTCCCTCTCCCCGCACAAGGCACGTGCTGGTCGGGTGACCCGTCTTTCCAGTCGTCCCACACGCTGGGTCTGTGATCACGCGCCCCCCACCCATAGCTGAGCCTGACGCGGCGGTGGCTCATGCGCCTTTCCGCCCCAGCCTCTAGCCACGGACCACACGTCCCATCCTTGCCGCCGGGCCCCGCCCCCTGCCCCGGGCGCGCCCCTCCAGTTTCCCGGCTCGGGTGTCGGAGGGGCCGCGCCCGCGGGCCGTGCGCACGGATTGGCTGCGCCGCGGCGGCGGGCGGCCCGTGGGCGCACACACCCTCCCCGTGCAGCCAATGGGCGTGCGCGCGTCACTGACCCGGAGGCCCGCGAGCCGGCAGCCCCTCAATAAGCCACATTGTTGCACGAAACTCCAGAGCAGGAGTCCCGAGCCGCCGCTAGGGCCGCCGTGTCATCAAGCGGAGGAGATCCGTGGGCAAGGCAGCGCGCGTGTGAGCCGTAGAGGTCCGCTCCCCCAAGTGAGACCGGACCGAGATTCTTCCCAAGTGGAGCCTTTAGTGATCCTGTGGTGAAGTTAGCACTTTGGCGGTGGGGCAACCCGACACGTCGCCAGCAGTGATTTTTGGGCTCCTTCTAGCAATCGGGACTCCCAAAACCTGTTTTCAGAGACCCTAGACTCTCAAGCTGAGCGTGCCATCGCCTTCTTTTTGCGCCGTCCGGATTCACTGCTCCCAGCCGGGCCGCCAAGCCCCGATACAAAGCGGTCGGACCTCGCTGTCCTCCTCCCCCGCACGCGCTCCAACCTCGGTTTCCCAACTCGGCGCCGTCGGACCGCGGCAGGATGATCGCCTCGCATCTGCTCGCCTACTTCTTCACAGAGCTCAACCATGACCAAGTGCAGAAGGTAAGTAAGCGCGTGCAGGGGCGGCTGGCTCGCCTTTGACAAAGTTGTGTGGTCCCCGGCTCTCACTTTGGGGTCCCGGCCGGCCGGGACTCTCCTCCTTGACCCTGCGGGGAACCACTTCCTCCTCATTCGGGGTCGAGGACGCGGAAAAAGTCAGGGCTGCCGGGAAACTCCTGGGCGCGAGGAGCCACGTCCGCTAGGCACGGGCAGGCGTGTGCGCGCGTGCGAGGCTCCTGGGCTCGCGCACCGCGCGGCTCTCTGCCTTCCTGCCACCCTGCGCGCGCTCGCGCTTTTTTTTTTTCTTCCCGCTGGAGGGGCGGGTCACCCGGCACGTAGTCTGAGACTGTGGGGCCCACGTGGGAGGAGCCCCCCTCTCGCAGCCGGAGTTCCGGCGAGAGCACGTGGGGGGAAGAATCGTGGCTGGTGGGGGGAGGCTCCGCTGCCACGTGGGACTGCCGGGGGACTCCGGTGCCAAAGGATCGCGTTCTGGGGACATGCGGTTCCCCTCGGCGTTCCTCAGGGCCTCGCGGAGGTGCGCTTGGGGAGAGGCCGATCCGGGAAGGAGCTGGGACAGCGGCCGAGAAACTCCGCCCGCCGCGCCCCCTCCCCGGAACTGAGGCGCCCGGAACTGAGGCCCCGCGAGGGGCGTACATTCCCCCACACATGTGCCTTGGGACGGCCGGGCCTTGAGTCCCCGGCCCCCGCCTCCAAGTAGGGGGCGAACTTTGGTTGATATTTCTAGTGCTACTAAAAGTTACACGAACTGTCCCCCCCCCCCCGGCTTTCCTGTCTTCTTTGAAAAGTTTTCGTTAGGTAAACGAGCTTTTTCCTGCCCGAGACTCCGACAGGTCTGCCCACTTTGCTGTCGGCAGCCCTCCGAGCTCTTGAGCTAGGTCATTTACATAAGAAAGAGCTTCTGGCCCCGCCGGGAGCCGAGCTCTAGGTGCCTCCGGGTATGGGGTTGGGGGTGGGGCTGGGCCTGAGGCGCGCTCACTCTGGGGAGCATTGAGTTTCTGAAATACTCGGGATTTCAGGATTGGCACCTGGCCCTGGACCTCACTAGGACTTGAGAAGAAGGGATGGGCGGTGGGGGGTGTCCAGAACTGTGAGGCAGTGACAGCGTTGCTTAATTACATACTTGAAATTTCTGTGTCTTAGAGGGAACACATTTGGGATAGTGTCTTGAAGTAGTTGTTCGGTGCCGCGATCTGCTCGTATCGTACTCCCATTCTGGGGATTCTCAGCAAAGGAGAGGATGGTGGGTTACCCTCATGGTGTTTTCAGAGCCGATGCAGATGAACCCCCAAATAAAACGTGGCAATACTTAGCCTCAGACTGGAGTAGGGAGGAGAGGGCGGCTGGCTGAGTGGACGACTGTTGCCCTCTCCTTCCTGGGATGTGGCTCTGCTCTGCACTGAATTCAGTTTAAGAATGTGTCTGTGAGCCGGCAGAATCTTGGCAACTTCTATGGGCTTCTCTGCCCAAGAAGTGAGTTAACCCTTGGGGAAGACTCATCCCTTGGCAAATCCTAAAGTAGGAAGCTGTCACTCCAGGACATTGTAATTCCTTTGCCAGTTTACTCTCCCCTAATCCAGAGGAAGGAGGCTAAGACTCAAACTGTCTTGGTATGGATTCGGAGTCCTCTCTTTGGTCCCAGAGCGGAGAGAGACTAAGCCAGGGTATCTGGAAATGAGTTCTAATCTTTGTTTTGTGATATATTAACCACAGGACCCTGAGCAAGTCACTTTGCCTCTTTGGACTGTTGGTTTCTTCTTGTAAAACAGGAGTCACAGCAGCAGCCTTGCCCACATTAGGGAGTTGTGATGATTCAACACAGTAATGTAGACATGTCTTTTTTGTAGGCGACTCTTACCTACACTCGCAGCTTCCTTTTAGCCTGTGAAGTGTCTGGGTGGACACTGGGTGTATTTCCTCTAAATTACCAATGGGGGCAGAATAGAGTCAGGCCTTTAATTTACCAGGTGTCAGAACCTGGGACTTGGCCTCCAGGCTTAGGTGAGCAAAACTGTTTGATTCCAGCTGCCGTTCGATAGGAAGTAGGAGGAGCCTCAGAATATTTTGGAAGCAGCTTTTCTTTTTAAGCAGACTCCACTGCACACCCAGTGTGGAGCCCAATGTGGGGCTTGAACTCATGACCCTGAGATGAAGACACGTAACTGAGTGAGCCACCCAGGTGTCCCTAGAAGCCTGTTTTCCAGTTGCTGCTACAAGGATGAATTCGGGGAGAAGGATGAAGTTTGAGTTTAATTTTAGAGAGTCTTTTGAAAAGGTCTTGATTTGGACTCTTCTGAAATCCCCATTATCCTATATATTCTGGGTTGTAGTCTGAGGCATGGAAAACTTGGATTCACCAGAACTAGCCCCCCACCCCCCGCCATCTCCTGATGGACAAGTCCAGGGTTTTGTACCATTAGGAGGAGACTGACACTTTGAAACTCGAGAGCAAACACATGTGGCATTTACAGTGTACCAGGAACTGGTTTAAGCTCTTTACGTATGTTAACTCATTAATGTTCGCAACAATCTCACAGAGCAGTTGCAGTTATTATCAGCATCCCCCTTTTACTGGTAAGGAACAAAGGCACAGTAACTTGTCCAAGGTCACTAGCATTTTTGTAAGAGCTGGGAATTAAAGCCACGCAGTTGGGCTCCAGAGCCGCATGCTCTTGACCACACTCACCTGATTCTGGGAACAATAGTGGACTCCATCCTGGCTCCTGTCTGCATCCACTCTGGGATGCTGGCAGCACCATCACCCAGCATGCCCAGAAATGCAACTAGCTCTTTTCCTTGGTTACATTAATGGCACCAGTACCCTCTGGCTATTCTGGCTGGGAGCTCTGGACTCCTTTCATGACTTTCCTTTCTGATCGCTACGCGTTTGTCAACCTGTCTCTGGCTTATTTCAGAGGGCTCCTAGGGTTTCTCTGTTTCCAGTCTGTTTCTGGAGTGAGACTGGAACATTTCAGAAGCCTTTTAACACTGCATTCTGAATGCCCCTTGACCCCTCCATGTTCTCTACCTTCACTCCCCGAGGACTTGCATCACCATTCCTTTGAATGCCACGCTCTTCACACTAGGCGCCTTTGCCCTATCATGGCATTTTTTTTTTAATGGGAGTTCTCATGACCAATGGTTTTTTTTTTTTTTAAGATTTTATTTAAAAACATGAGAGAGAGAGGCAGAGAGCACGAGTGGGGGAAGGGCAGAGAGAGGGAGAAGCAGATTCCCCGCTGAGCAGGGAGCCCCATGCTGGGCTGGATCCCAGGACCCTGGGATCATGACCTAAGCCGAAGGCAGGTGCTTAACTGACTGAGCCACCCAGGCACCCTCTCATGGCATTTTTATCGTTCCACCATACGTCAGACTTTGTAGTTTTCAGTTCCGGTTCCTTCCTTGGGGCAGGGAGAATCCTGGCTGCTCACCTTTGTAGCCATAGTTTCTGGCCACTGATGAGGTACTCAGTGAGTGTGAGGCTGAGAGAGGAGCCCTTCCTGGAGACAGAAGCTGAGCAAGGGCTGCAGGAAGGGGAGGAGGGTGAAAGGCAAATTGGGGGATGGTTAGGATGGGGCTGAAGGGGATGGGTGGAAAGGGGGACATTAAGAAAGGCGGTGGACTCGGGCACCTGGGTGGCTCAGTTGGTTAAGCGACTACCTTCGGCTCAGGTCATGATCCCAAAGTCCCAGGATCGAGTCCCACATCAGGCTCCCTGCTCAGCAGGGAGTCTGCTTCTCCCTCTGACCCTATCCCCTCTTGGGCTCTCTCTCTCAAATAAATAAATAAAATCTTTTTTAAAAAAAAAAAGAAAGAAAGGTGGTGGACTCTTCTTTAATCAAGGCCTGAGGCTGATCCTGATCCTGAGGCTGATTCTGAGGAGAAAGGGAGGGGTTCAGGACACAGGGAGGGAGATAGGGAAGGTGAGGGAGTTTCCTGTCTTCCAGCAATCAAGGCTCTCTGTCCTCTGGGTGGAGAGATAGATTCTTTTTATTGATTGAGGTATAGTAAACGTTCAAGATAGAGGATTTTTGCTGCTTAAGGAGAATCAGTTTTAACCAGAGAAGTGAAATGAGGTATGCATGCCTTCCTTTAGCCATTGGACGAATTTTTTTTAACATGCATCGACTGGTGACATATTTTCACTCCTATTATGGAATATAGATAGCTCGCTTGGGCTCTTTTCTGTGTGAGGAGTGGCTTTCAACTCTGGACTTATGAGCGGAGGGAGTATCTTGGAAGCAGAAAATTCAGCAGAGCCCCCAAGAGTCAAGAAAGACAAGAGTTTTAATGTTTTTTGAGAACTTATTGTGGGTACCAGTTCCTCTGGCTATGATGTGGGAAACTGAAACTAAGACACCTTTCAGTCTGGTGAGATAAGGCAGCAGTCAAGAGAGGGTTCCTTACCACGGGGTGAGGAGTTGGAGACCTCAAGGGAGCCTTGATTGGTATGCCTTGAGTACCTACTATGTGCCATTATATCTTCTGATAAGGGGTTAAAGTACCGGGAGTCAGAATCAACTACTGATCACAGCCTTACTAAGATTATTTTTGATTGACTTAACTGACATTGGCAGGTACAGTTTCTCATTTGTTCAATGTGTACATAATACTTAGCATCCTAATACTGTCCCTTCCCTGCTCAGAAGGAGTTGATGGTAGCTTTTGCTAATCATCCATTTTTTGTATCACCAAATTTCTATTTCAGAGAGTGCTAGGAAGCATTTTTCGTTACCACTGAATTAATTAAAATTCCCTCTGAGGCTCCTCAGACAAAGCCAACTTTTTTTTTTAAACATCACTTTTCAAAGATGAATGTTTCCAGCACCCTGAGGAATTTGAGGGCAGTTAGGAGCCCTTTTCCAGGGGAAATCAAAACAACGCAAACCACAACAGTTTTCTCAAAGCCTGGCAGCCAGAGTAAGGAGATCTGATGTACTAAAAGACCTCAAGAACTCCAGAAAACTGACTTCCTTTGTTCAAAT